GTATGATTCTGGAATCCAATGTTGCAGCTAGATCATTTATGTAGAGAATAAAAAGAAGAGGTCCAACTTTAGACCCTTGAGGAACTCCATGAAGAACCGGACACCAGTTTGAGAAATTTTTAATGTTAGATTTATCTTTTATTACAACTCGTTGATAACGTCCCTGAAGATAGCATTTGAACCAGGCCAAGGAAGAACAAACAATTCCATATAGTTTAAGTTTTTCCAGAAGAATGTCATGCCTCACACAGTCAAAGGCCTTGGAAAGATCACAGAAAACACCAATTGCCCTCTGGGATCTATCCAGGGCCTCCACAGTATCAGAAATAAGCTCAACTACTGCATCTGAGGTACTCCTATTTATTCTAAAACCAAACTGATCTTTGTTGAGTAATTCGTTTGTTTCAAGGAATGGAACTAGCTGTGATAGAGCAGCCTCTTCAAACAACTTTGAGATGACTGGCAAAAGAGCGATTGGTCGATAGTTAGATATTTCATGGGAGTCACCTTTTTTAAATACTGGTTTGATTTGTGCATATTTTAATCTGTCTGGGAAAGAGCCTGTTAACAGTGATATATTGATACAATGAGTTAGAGGTTTTAAGGTGCAAGGAGCTAAAGATTTTATAAGATGTGCTGGAATTTCATCCCATCCTGTGGATGGTTTGTTTTTGAGTTTTTTTATACTGTACATGAAAAGACAAAAGATTCTGATACCGGTTGAAACTTGAAAGAATAAGAACTTTTAAAGATGCCTTTTTTGCGCTCTTAACAGATTCTGAAACAGGAACATGAGAATGAAAATCTTTTGCTACGCTTGTAAAAAAATTGTTCATACTGTTAGCTACTGATATTGGTTTTACTACCACCTCCCCATTAATTCTAATCTCTGGACACGACTGATCTTCTACACATTGCCCTAACTCTTTTTTTACAATATTCCAAGTTGTTCTAGTTACATTGTCACTTGCTTTTATCAAATTAACATTATACAACTTTTTTGCTGCAGAAACTACTTTTCTAAACGCCCGTTTATAATTCTTAAAATACTCCATAAAAGCAGGACTTGAATTATATCTAGAGATTTTATACATTTCCCATTTCCTCCTACTTGACACTTTAATTCCCCTTGTTACCCAAGCACTTTTCCCTTTATTATTATTAACAACTTTTGTGCTGATAGGACAATTATTTACAAAGGAGCTATATACAGTATTCAAAAAAACATTAAAACTCTCATTACATGTAAGCTGTGACATACAATTATTCCAATTCTCAGCTGATAAGCAGTTGTATAGGGATCTGATATTTTCTTGGCTTATTATACGTTTTGAGGAGTACCTTTTTACAATACTATTTACAATCTCAGCCTTGTGGCATATTATTTGACCTAAATGATCAGAAATTCCAAAGTCTACTGTTTTACACATACTTTCATCAAAAGTTAAATAATTATTAGTTATGATGTTGTCAATACAGGTTGCTGTTGTAGGTGTTTTTCTGGTGGGCTCATTAAAAATTAGTTTATAACCGAAGGACAATAATAGCATTCTAAATCTGCAGCTTTTTTCATCATCAACTAACATATCGATATTGAAGTCACCACATGTAAATACAATTTTTATATTTATCTGCCTCTCAAAACATGAGAAGAATGCACTTAAATTGTTATCATCTGGTATCCTGTGAATAACTACAATAATTTTTTTTTCTTTTACAATTTGGAATGTCTTTATTTTTTATTTATTTTTTTTATAACATTTTTATTTAATTTACAATCTGTTCAACAAAAAAATAGAACAATAAGCAAATTCGATATAATTTAAACACAGTAGTTAGTCTTTATCCAGCAATAGAGCTAACACACAAACTTTGCATATTTGGTACAAAGTTTAAAGTCTAAAAACGACTACTTAAGTCCAAAACATGGCATCTTTTCAATCTGTATGTATAGTTGCTGTTGTCCAATAAATTTAAAGCGAGGTAGTTAGGATGGTACTCTAATTTCTTTAAGTATTTGGCACTTAATTTTGAAATTTCTTCTTTGACGGTTGGGGTTCGACTGTCCCTGTGAATTACTTCGTTATTGACGAACCGTGGTGCCTGGAGAATGTGTCTTAGAACTTTAGATTGGAATCTTTGGATGTTCAGATTGGATTCACTGGATGTCCCCCACAGTTGGATACCGTACGTCCACACTGGTTTTAGAATGGTTTTATATAAAAGCAATTTATTTTCTGTTGTTAATTTAGAATTTTGATTTAATAGCCAAGAAAGATTTTTAAATTTTAAATTTAACGAAATTCTCTTGTTCCAAATGTGGCTTTTCCAAGTGAGTCTTCTATCAAGGGTCAAGCCCAAGTATTTAACCTCATTGCACTGTGGGATTTGATTGTTGTTTAGGGTAACTGGAGGACACGTGTCTAATCTTGTTGTAAAGGTTGTATGGACCGATTTACTCTCATTTACCTTGATCCCCCATTTTTTTAGCCAATCGGAGATATCATCGAGTCCAGTCTGCAAAATTTGTGAAGCTATAACAGGGTTTTCAGGAGAGGCTATAATAGCAGTATCATCAGCGAATAATGCAATTTCGACATTAGGATTTTCAGGGAGGTCCGCCGTGAACAATGTGTAGAGAACGGGGCCCAATACACTTCCTTGGGGAACTCCTGCATGAATTTTGTGAAGTGGGGTAACAATATCACCAAATTTTACTCTGAAGTGTCGATTGAAAAGGTGTGAGGAAGATTACGTTTTAGTTTATAGAGTAAACCAGTATGCCAAACTTTGTCAAACGCTTGACTCACGTCAATGAACACAGCAGAACAAAACTTCTTTGTCTCGATATCCTCTTTGATAACATCCACCACCCGATGGACCAGCTCAATGGCAGAATGTTCTTGCCGAAATCCAAACTGGTGATTAGGAATTAAGTTTGATTCATCAATCACAAAACGAAGGCGCTTTAAAAGAAGTTTTTCAAAAACCTTCGAGGCAATGGGGAGGAGACTGATAGACCGGTACAAACTAACTTGATTTGGTGGTTTTCCAGGCTTTTGAATCATTATAATTTCAGATGTTTTCCATTAAGTAGGGAAATGCTCAGTTCGCAAAATGGAATTGATAATTAGGGTCAAGAATAAAATTGCTTTTCTTGGAAGTTCTTTGAGAATTTTTCCTGTGATCAAATCATACCCAGGGGCTTTGTGCAGTTTTAACCCCTTAATTACTTTTATCACTTCAGAAGATCGAAACTGAGATATCGGCAATGACATCTGATTGGGGGAGTCGAGGAATTCTTCAATTTCTTGGTAGTTGTTTAATATGGATAGCATTCTGAAGCGGCAAAAAGAGGCTATCAGAATTATGCTTAAGCTTAAAAGAGATGATTCGGCAAAAGAACATTTTAAGAAATTACAAATTTTTACAGTTTATGGGCAATATATTTATGAAACAATTCTTATTGAAAAAAAATGAATCTGAGCAAGTAATAAATTTAGTACATTCTTATAATTTCAGGAGGAGAAGAGAGTTTGTCCAGCCTCACAAATTAAAATTTTTTGAAAAAAAAACCCTCATACGCTGGTAACGAGTTTCTAAAATTTGTCCCTGAATTGATAAAAAAAGAAACAAACCTATCTAAATACAAGAAAATTCTAAAAGATTATTTAATAAATTTAGCATTATATTCTTTTGAGGAGTTTTCCACCTCCCATACATAGATATAGTATTTTTATTTTAAAAGTATTCTGACACTATTCACTGTACCACCAATGTACATGACTTATGATGAATAAAGATGTTTGAATATGAATATGTATCTCTTTTAGCGATCTTGGATAATAGCCGCTGAAGGGTTATTGATTGTTCAAAAATATTTTTTCTAACACCAAAGTGATAATAATTTAAATATCTAGTATACTTTGAAATTAGAAATGTTCTTTGTAGTTTTGAATTGTTCTCCAAAAAGGAGTCCTTGGAAGCTAGCGGCCATCTTGGATTTACCCGCTATAAGAGCAATGTTAATTTCGTTAATTTCAAACAGCCACTGAAACCATTTCAAAATTTACCATCTCAAAATATTTTCCTAAACACCAGAGTAATTGTAATTTTAAAATCTAGTATACTGTGGGACTAGAAAGTTTCTTTGTAGTGTTTAAATTATTTAACAAGTTAGAACGTCTAGGCTCCAAGGACTCTTAATCCCAAATGACATGCATTTGATATAGGAAAATTAGGTTTTTTGTTATTTACATAAAAACTAAAAGAGGTACGAAGTAAGTGTAGGCCTAAATTACAAACAATGGGCATTTGCAAATTTTAAAAAATATTTTTTTTTTTTAATTTTTGTAATTTCAAAAAACCTTTACTTGTGCATATCAGAATAAAGCTAATTTCATAACAAGTAAGAAAATTCAACCGGAGAAGTGCTAAGTACATCGGTTTAGGAAACATAGAGTATTAAAAATGTATTGATTTTTCCCACAAAAACTACCGCCATTTTGAAACGGATTAAGATAATTAATTTCTATATTCGCCAAAAATGTTTGTCTAATAATTACCTTTAAAATGATGTATAATATGACATAATGTTTACATTTGAAAATTCCGAGATTCGAACTAGTGACACTCAGTTTTTGGCACACCCTGTATCGGAAAAAAGTTACGTTATTCCTTGGGGTCGATTTAGTTGAAAATAATTTTATTTCATTCATGTAGGTCAATCCGTTTGTCCGTAATCAATTTGAGACACCTCTCGTGGGACACCCTGTATATATATACACATGTACAAAAATTTGAGCGAATGGTGTTTTTGGCCTCTGGGGACATCAAAATGAAAAAGTAAACCGGTCGCGGGCCTAGGGGTTACTATGCCACCTACGGTAATAGCTCTAGGGAAATTCACTAAAAAGGTACTGTAACTATAATTTATTTTAAGATTGTGTCATGGGAAAAATAAAGAGTCGGTATGGTTAAAAAAATTAATCAAACGTATATAAATTTAAAAATAGATTTTTATTATAACAATTAATTATTTATAATAATAAAAACTGAGGCTAATACAAGTGGATTACAACCGAAGAAAAAAATTCCATGAGTAAAATTTGCACATAACATTATAGTCAGTTTGGAATTGGCAGTTAAGGGTTTCAGTTGCAGCAGACCTGAAACAAAAAACACATTGAAGAACTAGATAAAAATAAAGATATGATTCCTAAATATAAAAACTTACTCAACCCGCCATGTTAAACTTCCCTATGCCAAGTGTGATGTAAACAACTTCTTTACTTCACTCGGTGAAGTAAAGTTTCAAAGACTCACTCGGTAAAGTAATGAAACCCATTCAAACGACATTGAGTGCTCAACTTAATAAAATATACGTCTATGGAGCCAATGACATTCAACGCTAGAAATCAGCTGTATTTTCCTAACCTAGCTTTTGTTTGTAAAGGAACGTTACTGTTAGAAGATGAGTGAAATGGATAATGAAAAATATTGTATGTAACCCCTGTATATTGTCTGGTCAGGTAAAATCTTGTACGTTACACGTTAGGCAAGAGCGTGTTTATATCACTTAGGTGAATTATGTAACTCGCTTCCGCTCGTTGCACAACATTCACCTGTGTGATGTAAAAACGCTCTTATTACACTTGTAACGTATATAGCTATTAAAATACCAACCATATTTACTAATTCATTACACATACAAATTGATAAAACCTATTATCTTACTAATATTATAAACTAACTGTTGTACCCGTGCTTTGCAACGGGAAGAGAACACATAATAGAAACATTTTAGTCTTTACATCTTTTGCATATAATAGTTACACATCCACCAAGGCTTTTAGAAACAAAATTCAACTTTCATGGCCTTAATAGAAACGTTTAAGTTATAACTTTTAAATCTGGTAAGTAGTGGATACCACCATTTTGGTTTTGAATAATTTTAAATCTTGTGTAGGCTGATATGAGAAAAACTGACCAAATCTTTGAATAAAACTTTCACATACATGATTTACCTTAATCTCCCTTAATTACATACTTTTTTTCTTTATTTTTGACATTTTAAATTTCAACTTTGAAGTTGCAAAAATACTAATTATTAAATTTAAATGAACATGTTTTTAATTTCACTCTTCTTCGTATTAAATCACCAATCCTTCCATCTTCAGTTTCTTCACTCACAATAAATCATTAGCAAAACTAAGTCAGCTGTTATAAACTTTAGAAATATTGTTGTGCCTTATCAATAGTCTTTTGAAATATTAAAGAAACTATATATATACTATAACAAAATTTAAACAAAAAATTAAGCATTAAAGACAGAAGACAAAAGTACAGATAGTGTCACGGTGCGTGGCGCCTCGCTGGAGCATGCGCACTGAGAGCTTTCCCCCACTACGCCTCGATGTACGGGGTACAGTCACGTTCAAATACTGAAGTTGTGAACTAGCATCAGCTGTGAAATTAGTTGGCTTTATGTTTACGTTTTTGTATTTTTCTGTCTCTCTCGCACTGCCTCCCCTACACGACTGATCTTCTACACATTGCCCTAACTCTTTTTTTACAATATTCCAAGTTGTTCTAGTTACACTTGTAACGTATATAGCTATTAAAATACCAACCATATTTACTAATTCATTACACATACAAATTGATAAAACCTATTATCTTACTAATATTATAAACTAACTGTTGTACCCGTGCTTTGCAACGGGAAGAGAACACATAATAGAAACATTTTAGTCTTTACATCTTTTGCGTATAATAGTTACACATCCACCAAGGCTTTTAGAAACAAAATTCAACTTTCATGGCCTTAATAGAAACGTTTAAGTTATAACTTTTAAATCTGGTAAGTAGTGGATACCACCATTTTGGTTTTGAATAATTTTAAATCTTGTGTAGGCTGATATGAGAAAAACTGACCAAATCTTTGAATAAAACTTTCACATACATGATTTACCTTAATCTCCCTTAATTACATACTTTTTTTCTTTATTTTTGACATTTTAAATTTCAACTTTGAAGTTGCAAAAATACTAATTATTAAATTTAAATGAACATGTTTTTAATTTCACTCTTCTTCGTATTAAATCACCAATCCTTCCATCTTCAGTTTCTTCACTCACAATAAATCATTAGCAAAACTAAGTCAGCTGTTATAAACTTTAGAAATATTGTTGTGCCTTATCAATAGTCTTTTGAAATATTAAAGAAACTATATATATACTATAACAAAATTTAAACAAAAAATTAAGCATTAAAGACAGAAGACAAAAGTACAGATAGTGTCACGGTGCGTGGCGCCTCGCTGGAGCATGCGCACTGAGAGCTTTCCCCCACTACGCCTCGATGTACGGGGTACAGTCACGTTCAAATACTGAAGTTGTGAACTAGCATCAGCTGTGAAATTAGTTGGCTTTATGTTTACGTTTTTGTATTTTTCTGTCTCTCTCGCACTGCCTCCCCTACACGACTGATCTTCTACACATTGCCCTAACTCTTTTTTTACAATATTCCAAGTTGTTCTAGTTACACTTGTAACGTATATAGCTATTAAAATACCAACCATATTTACTAATTCATTACACATACAAATTGATAAAACCTATTATCTTACTAATATTATAAACTAACTGTTGTACCCGTGCTTTGCAACGGGAAGAGAACACATAATAGAAACATTTTAGTCTTTACATCTTTTGCGTATAATAGTTACACATCCACCAAGGCTTTTAGAAACAAAATTCAACTTTCATGGCCTTAATAGAAACGTTTAAGTTATAACTTTTAAATCTGGTAAGTAGTGGATACCACCATTTTGGTTTTGAATAATTTTAAATCTTGTGTAGGCTGATATGAGAAAAACTGACCAAATCTTTGAATAAAACTTTCACATACATGATTTACCTTAATCTCCCTTAATTACATACTTTTTTTCTTTATTTTTGACATTTTAAATTTCAACTTTGAAGTTGCAAAAATACTAATTATTAAATTTAAATGAACATGTTTTTAATTTCACTCTTCTTCGTATTAAATCACCAATCCTTCCATCTTCAGTTTCTTCACTCACAATAAATCATTAGCAAAACTAAGTCAGCTGTTATAAACTTTAGAAATATTGTTGTGCCTTATCAATAGTCTTTTGAAATATTAAAGAAACTATATATATACTATAACAAAATTTAAACAAAAAATTAAGCATTAAAGACAGAAGACAAAAGTACAGATAGTGTCACGGTGCGTGGCGCCTCGCTGGAGCATGCGCATTGAGAGCTTTCCCCCACTACGCCTCGATGTACGGGGTACAGTCACGTTCAAATACTGAAGTTGTGAACTAGCATCAGCTGTGAAATTAGTTGGCTTTATGTTTACGTTTTTGTATTTTTCTGTCTCTCTCGCACTGCCTCCCCTACACGCCAAGCACGGTGAAAAGGTCTGTAATAAGATTATCAAAGCATCAAGGACTAAAAAATGTAATAGCAAATACAGTATGTTTCATTACATCTCTGATTCTACTCTACAAAAATATCAACAAACAACTTAATATACAAACCAGTTCTTTTAATCAGTTCCATCGTTATTTATCAAATAAAGTAAATGGGAACTGAAAGCTATGTTAACATAAAATAAGTGTATTTTGTATTACCATTTGATAATTAAATATTCTTACACATATACAAACGATTTTAGAACACAAAAATCAACGACGAACAATTTGGTTATTTATGATATTCTTTAGTTTAATTTGTTGTTTTAATTTAGTTTTATTTAAAATTTTTCCGAAACTGTAGATCTTGTTAAATGTAGGCTTTTACAAAATAGTTTAGACGATGAATATGTCAATCAGATTGTAAAATTGCTTGTGACTGTTTTGAAGCAAAATTATTTTAGATTTAACAATAGATTTTACGAACAAACAGATGGTTTAGCTATGGGAAGTCCACTTTCGGCAATTTTATCAGAAATATTTTTACAGCATCAGGAAAAAGAAATGTTAATGAATTTAAGAAAGAATCATGATGTAAAACTGTATGTTAGATATGTAGACAACATTCTTGTTATCTTCAGACAAGCCCAGGAGCAGGAACACGAAACGATGATGCAGACACTAAAAAGCCACCACCCGAACCTCACCTTTACCAACGAGTTTGAAAAAAACAAAAAGATCAACTTCCTGGACCTCACATTAGAGAGAAAAGACAGCAAGATAGAGTTTGACATCTACAGGAAACCCACGCAAACGGACACTACAATCAACAACAAGTCTATCCATCCGACAATCCACAAGACCGCAGCCTTTAGATCTATGCTGTACCGAGCCTATAAGATCCCACTTAGCCAAGCCAATAGGAAAAAATAACTGGACACCATTAAGAAGATCGCTCAAGTGAATGGATTTCGAACCAAGACGATAGAGGACATAGCAAGGAAGACGAGGAGGAAAATCGATAGACAGAATACACTACACAGCAGAACAACATTAGAAGAGATAAAAGAGGAAAACACCAGATATATCACATTTAGCTACACGGGGACTACAACACAAAGGACTGCTAACAGATTCAAGAAATACGGAGTTTCAATAGCCTACAGGACTCAGAACACCATGAGTAAAATACTGCATCCAAAAATAGAAGATTGTAACAAATTTGACACTTCAGGCATCTATAAAATCAATTGTAACGATTGTGATAGCTTCTACATTGGACAGACTGTGAACTTCGTTAACCGCTTCAAAAACCACATATCTGCGTGGAGGAACAACAAACCGGAAAGATCAAATGTCGCACAACACCTGTTACAAAATGGGCACTCACTAGGAAAAATGGAGAATAGTCTAGATATTTTAAAGAATTGTAAGAAAGGATATGTAATGAATGCTTGGGAAGAATTGTATATTTATAAGGAAAAATGTAAAGATAGAAATAAGTTGAATAATGAACAAATACATTTTGATTCCAGTTGTACTTATAAAAATGTATTGGCCGGTGCTTCCGGTAGCCAATAGGGTATAAGTAGGGACGCCATTCAAGATTCTTGTCATTCGCCTATTGGGTCTGATGATGATTGGAGTGTCCAATCGAAATCGATCACCACTTACCATCTTTTTTGTATATTTACCGTCTTGTGAGTAACAGTATAAGCGTAAATA